GATGTATATAAATAAATCTCATGTTTAGATTTGGGTCCCATCTCCAAGATATCTCATTTTGTTGTTGTTAACGGCCCTTGAGTCATTCTCAACCCATGGTGACCCTATGGATGAGACATCTCCAAGACCCCCTGTCCTTCACTGTTCTGGTTAAATCCTGCAACCCATGACCCCCTTAATAGAGTCAATCCATCTGGCATGTGGCCTTCCTCTCTTCCTACTTCCCTCCACCTTTCCCAGCACCATTGTCTTTTCCAATGAGTCCTCCCTTCTCATGATAGGTCCAAAGTACGACAGTCTTAATTTGGTCATCTTGGCTTCCAGGAAGGTTTCCGGTTTGATCTGCTCTAGGACCCACTTATTTGTCCCTTTGGTTGTCCATAGGATCCTCAGCACTCTTCTCCAGCACATCTCAAAGGAATTGATTTTATCTTTCTTCGCTGTCCAGCTCTCACATCCATACATGGTAATAGGGAATACAATGGCTTGTATGATTCTAACTTTGTGCTGAGTTGTATATCTTTCCATTTTAGAATGCTTTCATAGCCACCCTCCCCATTCTTAATCTTCTGATTTCCTGACTGCAGTCCCCATCTATGTTTGATCCCAGGTATGGGAATTCTTTTACTATTTCTATTTCTTCATTATCTAGGTTGAACTTGTGAAGGTCCTCAGTGGTCATTATTTTTGTCTTAATGTATGTTCAACATTAAGCCTGCCTTAGCACTTTCTCCTTTGATCTTCCAGGTCTGTGAGTTTTCTGCTAGTACTATGGTGTCATCTGCATATCTTGGATTGTTGATATTCCTTCCTCCTCTTTTCACTCCTCCTTCTTCTGTGTCTAAGCCTGTTTTTTTCTTATAATATGTTCTGCAAACAAGTTCGAAAGCATGCAAATGCTAGTAGATAAATAGGTACCACTTCAGTGGGAAGGTAAACAGTGTTCTGTGCAGTCATGCTGGCCACATGATCACAGAGTAGTCTCTGACAACGCTGGCTCTTCGGCTTAGTAACAGAGATGACTACGCCCCCTACGGTCGGACACGACCTGACAACCTTGTCAATGGGAACCACCTTTACCTTTTTATACAAGTTGAACAGACAGGGTGAAAGTATTCAACCTTGACTGACTCCTTTGTTAGTTAGGAACTGTTCTATTTCTCCGTGTTCTGTTCTGACAGTAGCCTCTTGTCCTGAATACAGATTCCTCATCAGAAGTATCAGATGTGTTGGCACTTCCATGTCTTTAAGGGCATTCCGTAGCCTTTCACGATCTATGCAGTCAAAGGTTTTGCTAGTCTATAAAGCACATGCTGATTTTCTTTTGGAATTCCATTAGCCATCGTATGTTTGCAATGTGGTCCCTAGCACCTCTTCCTTTCCCGAACCCCACTTGGACCTCTGGGATTTCTCTCTCCATGTATGGTTGGAATCTATGTTGCAGAATTTTGAGCATAATTTTGCTTGCATTGGAGATCAGTGCTATGGTCTTATAGTTGCTGTAGTCTCTTGTGTCTCCTTTTTTCTGGATGGGGATGTATATTGATCGTTTCCAATCTGTTGGCCATCGTTTTGTTTTCCATATCTGTTGACATATACTGGTCAGCACTAAAACTGACTCTGTCAATCTAGATTGCAGAAGTTCAACTGGAATATTGTCTGTTCCTGGTGATTTGTTTTTAGCTAGTTCTCTTATTGCAGTTCCCACCTCGTATTTTAGAATTTGGGATTCATCTTCATATGGATCTTTGTTCCATGTGTCCTTCATTTTGTCATCTTTTTTGCATAATTCTTCTGTGTATTGCACCCAAGATCTTTTTTCCTTCCTGGTCTTGAATTATGTTATTTTTATTGTCATCAAGCATCCTGGTCCTTGGTTTGAATTCTCCTTTGATTTCTCGGATCTTGTGAAATAGGTCTTTTGTTCTTCCCTTTTTGTTGTTGTCTTCTATTTCTCTGCATTGGTTGTTGTAATTTTCTTTATCTTTCTGCACAACAATTGTACTGTTGCATTCATAATTCTTAGTTTGTTCCTATCTCCCTTTTGTTTTTCTTCTCTTCTTTATTGCTTGTAGTGTTTTTTTCTGTCATCCATGGTTTTTTCTCTCTTTTTGTTTACTGAAAGTGTCTGTCTGCATTCTCCTATGCAAATATTCCAAAACACACATACACACCAAAAAATTCTGAAATCCCAAACACTTCTGGTCCCAAGCATTTTGGATAACAGAGAGTCAACCTGTATGTACTACTGAAACAAGATGAGCAGTTTATAATCCAGACAAGAAAGGTGTCACAGACTGAGAAGTAAGGGTTTTTTTTTAACACAACAGTAATAGGTGAAACAACATGAGTTTCTCAGACATTTAAAATCCAATTCTGAACAGTATAACTCAATTTGAGAATCCTCAAGAGCATCACGATTAGACCCTTACACCTAAAATCCACCACAAACTGAAGCAGCCAATGAGATTCAGGTTGAGATTTGTATTGACACATGCAAACATACAGAATATTCTTCTGAGCTCCCACTTATAAAACAGGTCCAAAACAGACTGCAGAAATAAATCAGTTTGAGATAGCTTTAACTGCCAGGTAATTCTGGGAACTATAGTTCTGTGAGACTCAAAGTCCACAAAAATGGAGTGGCAACTGTATTTATTGTATGACCTACATTTTACTAGAGGTTGAATACCCCTAATCCAGAAATCTGAAATTCAAGCAACACCTAAACATTTTGCTATCAGCCAGCCACTTCCAGCTTCAAAACTGCCGCTGTGGCACTTCTGCTACTTCTCAGATCCTCAGTCTCTCTCTAGCCTTGCCTCTCACACAGAACACAAATCATGAATGAATGAGACACAAGGCTGGAGAGAGATGCAAGGATCTGTGAAATGGCAGGAGGAGGGGGTTAATGCCAAACACTGTGCTGGGATTTCTGCCATCTCACAGATTCTCAGTCTCTCTCCTGTCATATTCCTTTCCAGCCTTACAATACAGCACATACTATGCTACTTGTGCTGTGTATCGTATATTATGTGTATATAATAAATGCAGATATTCCAAAGTCAGGGGTGGGGTGGGGAATCCAAAAGATGAAATACTTCTAGTCTCAAGCATTTCAGAGAAGGGGAATTCAACCTAAAGTAGGTTATCATGGTTTGCATCTTAGGAACATACTAAAACAAATGACAATACTTGCCCATAGGGAAACCATACTTGCCTATAGAGAATCATAGGGAAATACTTACCCATAGAGAATTACAAGGAAATACTAGTATTCCCCAATGATTCCCTATAGAGAAGTATTCCCCAATACTAACACAAATGACAGTACTTGCCCATAGGGAAACCATACTTGCCCATAGAGAATCATAGGGAAATACTTGCCCATAAAGAATTACAAGGAAATACTAGTATTCCCCAATGATTCCCTATAAAGAAGTATTCCCCAATGATTCCCTATAGGCAAATATTTCCTAATGATTCCCTGTAGACAAATATTCCCCAATGATTCCCTATGGACAACTATTCCCCTATGATTCCCTATACACATGTATTTCCCAATGATTGTCTATGGACAAGTATTCACCTATGATTCCCTAAAGGGAAGTATTCCCCAATGATTCCCTCTAGGCAAATATGCCCCAATGATTCCCTCTAGGCAAATATTCCGCAATGATTCTCTATGGACAAGTATTCCCATATGATTCCCTATAGGGAAGTATTCCTCAATGATTCCCTATGGACAACTATTCCCCTATGATTCCTTATAGGCAAGTATTCCCCAATGATTCTCTATGAATAAGTATTCCCCTATGATTCCCTATATGCAAGTATTTCCCAATGATTCTCTATGGGCAAGTCTGGCTTCCCTATGGGCAAGTAAAGTACTGTCATTTGTTTCAGTACATCCCTGTATCTTACTGCTCTGTGATTTGCTTAAATTGACAGTGGCTTGTGATAGATATCATAAAGATGTGAAATAAATCGGACAGTCGCAAGATGTTTTAATATGGATGTACAAGTACACTTACTCACACACTTCTGTAGAATGGCATGTGAGGAAAACAAAAATAAAGAACCAAAGCCTCCATGTTTTCCTGTCTGTGTGTACATTCCATATTTCGTTGAGACACAACTGTTTTCTTCTCATCTCTGTTAACATGACAAAGCAGACAGATCACTTGGCTAATCCTTTAAACATAGGCCAAGCAACAAGCCTTAAAAGAGTAATACATGGGTCTTTAAACTGCTACAGCTGATACACTTTTATCACCATTCAAGTATTTGAGTGGTGCACTTCTTAAGATCATTTCCAGAAGAAGCTAGCTTGACATTTTCAAGTATTTAGCCCAAGAAGCAGGATAAGGTTCAATTTATGTCCTGGTCACTTAAGGACCCTTCAAAAACAGATTGCAGCTCTTTAAAATGCTGTTTGTGCCATCCAGGTTTAAAACATTTTTTGATCCACCTTTATGTTTTCCATCCATTTTTCTAATATAGGAAGGCTTGGCATAGTATAAACACCTGGTCCTGACCAAGGAAATAACTCCAATGATTTATAGCAAATAACTGAGACAACAGAAACCTGGAAGCATTCATCTTTTTTGTTGTTGTTGTTGAAAAGAAAGCCATAGACTTTCCATTTTTGATTGGTACCTTTGGGATCAAAAAGTTGCTGTCAAACTGGGGAAAGAGAAAAAAAAATTCCTCATGGTGGAAGATATTTTGGATCTAAACTATGTAGCTAATGACTGTCCAGAGACCTTCTGACTACCTGTCCCTCTAGGACATTATTAAAGCAGTTCAACATGTTATTGCTAGAGGCTTCATCACTACTACTGCAAAATCCCTCATACCAATTACAGAAGAAAATCAGAAAACTGACACAACTGGAAGCCGCTACCTAAAGAAACTAGAAAATGCCTAAAAAAGGGAATGTCTAAGAATACAAAACCTGATTGTCAAATAAATGTAGCATTGAATATGGAATTTAGGGAGCTAGTGTGGCATAATGGTTTGAGTGTTAAACTATGACTCTATAGGCCAGCGTTCGAATTCCAGCTCAGCCATGAAACCTACTCGGTGACCTTGGGCAAGGCACATGCTCTCAGCCTTAGGAGAAGGAAATGGAAAGCCTTCCCTGAACAAACCTTGCAAAGAAAACCCCATGATAGGTTTGCCTTTGGGTTGCCATAAGTCAGAAAATGATCTGAAAACTAACAACAACAACAACAACAACAACATTCAGTATGCCTTGGCTAAGAAAACCCTAATGAATCCATGGGGTCACCATAAATCGACAGGTGACTTGAAGACAGACAGACACGCACCCAGAGTCCAAAAAAGGAATTTATCTACAGTAAGCTCTGATCTGGATATTCTACCTATGGCTATCTAGCACAATATCAAACACTTTTTGCTGTTGTTTAGAAAATAATGGTTTTGCGTTCAGCAGAAATGGATGGAGGCTAATGGTGAGCCAAAGGTGGGGTGTTGGTCAGATGAGATCTGACCAACAATTGCATAAAATTGCAGGATAGTGAGAAACAAAAGACTCACTTCATTCACTCTAATCATTCCTAATGACAGAGAAAAGAAGAGAATGTAATTTTAAAAAATGTTGCACTGTCTGCTAGACCTGCACAGGGTCAAACATACAGCACAAATATAGTACAGGATAGACAATGACATTGTTTTCAAAGGGAAAACACTCTCTATCCTCATGTTTTCGATAAAGACATTGCTTAGCATTTACAGCTGACAAATTAGAGCAGTGGTACTCAAACTTTTTATCCTTTGGACCCCCCCTTTACATCTACATGCAAACATGCCCCCCTCCCTGAGCAACTTTTGTGCCCCCCAGGGGTCCCTCCCTGCTGTTTGGGAACCACTGAATAAGAAAGATGCATACTAAATAAGGGAATGCGGTGGCTTACTGGTTAAGATGCCAATTCTGACTATTGGAAGATCGGAAGGTTGGCAGTTTGAGGCCCAATTGCTGCATGATGGGGTGAGCTTCTGTCACTAGTCCCAGCTTCTGCCAACCTAGCAGTTTGAAAGCATGAACAAGCAAGTAGATAAATAGGTACCACTTTGGTGGGACGGTAACAGTGTTGGTGCAATCATGCTGACTACATGACCACCAGAGCAGTCCTTGGACAGTGCTGGTTCTTCAGCTTAGTAACAGAGATGAGCACCATCCCCTACAGTTGGTTACAACTAGACATTCATGTCAAGGGACTACCTTTACCTTTAACTTTTATACTAAATGCAGATTCAAAATACTTGTGCCAAGAAAGAATTGGTAACTTCTGAGCTAAGCACAAAGATAAATGTGATGTCAGAATTCTGAGAGGATAAACAGACTGCTGAATGCTCTCCAGTTAAAATATCCTTGGAAATACTTAAATATATACACTTAAAAGTAATGTTGTGAGGAGAATGGTTCATCTTTAACCTCTTTTCCCTGCACTAACATTCTTCTGTTGCAGTGGCGTTAAATAGGGGGTGCAATGGTGCGGACCACACCAGGTGACACCCCAGAAGATGGGTGACATCCAGTCCCCTCCCTCCAGTGTCATCAAGTCATGTTCTCATGAGGAGAAGGATGGTATGGGGTAGCACAGGGGGAGGGAGCATCCACGGCCTCCTTTGGTGCCGCCCCACCCCATCCTTCTCCTCATGAGGGAAAAGACAGGATGGGGCGGCATAATGGGGAGGTTGTGTGTGTGTCATGTCGGTGCCATCCCATCCCATCCCATCCTTCTCCTCATGAGGGGAAGGACAGGGTAGCACAGGTGGAGGGAATGTGCATGGTCTCCGGTGGTGCTGCCTCGCCTCGCCTTCCTCATGAGGGGAAGGATGGGACAGGGTGGCACAGGGGAGGAAGCATGCACACCCTCCCTCAGTGCCGCCTTGCCCTGTCTCACCCCATTCTTCTCCTAATGAGGAGAA